TGCAGCAGCTGCAGCTTGGAAAAGAGTGCACGATAGGCACTTGCAGAAAGGGCTTCTAAGCGTGCTTACTTGGCGGAAGCGGTTTTACACCATGGAGCGGAACTATGGGGAGGGGGAGACCATGGTTCAGTATCTCCAGAGGGTGGATGAGAATGTGAGGGCTTTGGAGGAGCTGGATTACACGGTAGATGAGAAGGAGATCATCTATACTGCGCTCCAAGGGTTGGATCAAGCGGCTAATGAGGCATTACTACAGTACCTTCACCTCGAGCAACAGAAATGGACCAAGGTGTGGATTTGGGAGGTTCTAATTTCTGATGAGGCTCGCAAGGTTGATGCTGGAAGAGGTCTAGAAGGAGGCATGGGTGCAGCAGATAAAGCTTCCTTCAGGAAAGGCTATCAACAGCAAGGAGGTGGGGGGAAGAAGAAAGAGTTGGACAAATGCCTTGTGCCCGGATGCAACAAAAAACACTCTTGGAAGAGTTGCTGGAGTAGGCCTGAGGGATGGAAGCCTCACGGCTACTCTGGAGAGGCCCCACCAGTGACCAAACCTGATTGGGTGGAGAAAAGGATGAAGAAGGGGCTCTGGAATAAGAAGGGAAGCAAGGGAGCAACGGCCGCAGCTGCTAAGGATGAGAAGGGGAAGGGCCAAGACGACTCCTCCGATGATGGTTTCTCGTTTCTCATGCTAGGGCAGGATGCAGCTCTCGCTGGTCGTGCATTGGCTGATCCCAACTTCCTGGTTCTAGACTCTGGAGCAACATCTGGGATGCTTCCTCGCCGTGATCTCTTCACCTCCTACCATCCTCTCCCACCAAATTCGAGGAACGTGATTGTTGGGAGCGGAGATTTGCTGCAAGCAATTGGCATCGGCACGATCACCATTAAGGGGAAGGAGGGGGAGCTAGTGGGTGTGAAGGGGGTCCTTCACGTCCCTGGTTTGGCTGCAAACCTCCTTTCATGCTCGCAGCTGGCTAAACAGGGATACATCTGCACTTTCACGGAGGGAGGGTGTACTGTTAGAAAGGGTGAAGCTGTGGTGATGGAGGCAAAGCTGGACAAGGGTTTATACCTTGTTCCAGCTTGTGTGCCTAATTGTTACAAGGCACATATGGTTTTTTCTGAGGAAGCCGCTTGTAGCACTCGCTGGAGGCAGGTGGAAACGGTGTCACCTGAGTTGCTACACCTTCGCATGGGGCACGCGGGGAAGCAGCAACTGCTGGAGTGTGTGAAGAAGGGGGAGCTGAAGGGGGTGGAGGTCAAGGAAGGAGCTGGGCAGCAGAGCAAATGTCCCGACTGCACGTCTGGAAAGCTGCCTAGAACCTCATTCCCTATCTCCTCTGATCATGCCTCGACTCCCCTTGAGCTGGTGCACACGGATGTGTGTGGACCGATGCAAACTCCTGACCGGGAAAGGGGCAGCAGGTACTTTGTCACCTTTCTTGATAACTTCAGTCGACTTAGCTGGGTCACCTTGGTGAAGACCAAGGATGAGGTGGCAAAGGTGTTTAAGCGGTGGATACGCTATGTGGAGAGGGAATCAGGGGCCAAGGTAAAGGTGTTAAGGTCAGATCGGGGTGGAGAGTACCTTGGGAAAGAACTTCAAACCTTCTTGGAAGAAAAGGGTATTACCCACCAGCTCTCTGTACCTTACACGCCGCAGCAAAATGGGGCAGCGGAGCGGCTTAACAGGACCTTGACCGATTTGGCTCGGGCCATCCTTTCCCATGCCGAGCTTGATAACACTTGGTGGGGGGCAGCAGTGCAGTATGCCAACTGGGTGAAGAACAGGATGGGCAGCAAGGGGCTTGGAGGCAAGAGCCCATACTCCTTATGGACAGGGAAGGTGCCGAATATTTCCATGGCACGAGTGTGGGGGTGCATGGCACAGTATAAGGTACCTGACCAGCAAAGAAGGAAGCTAGATCCTAAGGCACAGTGGGGGATCTTCCTTGGGGTTTCTGAGAGGAGCAAGGCTTGGGTGCTGTGGAGTGTAGCTGACCAGCGTGTGATGGAGAGCCGTGATGTGGTTTTCCATGAGGGGCTGAATTTTAAGGGGTGGAAGGAGCATGGTACAAGCCAAAGTGGGACTTCCATTCAAGACCCTCATACGGCTTCTATCTTTGAGAGGGCATGGGAGGACCCTGGAGATGAAGGGGAGGAGCAGCAGGAGGAGCCAGAACCAGCTGATCCTAACCATGAGGAGTCCCGAGAGACAGATTCTACCCCTCAGCCAGCCACGCAGGCCGATGCGCGTGATGATCAGCCGGAGCAGCATGTGCCTTCAACTCCATCGAGAAGCAGTTGGCAGCAGTTGTTGAACCAGCAGCTGTCCAAGACTCCAAGGACTCCAATGAAGAGGGTGACTTGGGAGGAGAAGCTGCGGAGGCTGGAAGAAGGAGAGGCAACACCTCTGCGACGCAGTGCTCGAATTTCCCAGCCACCTGAAAGGTTTTCACCGGGGCACATTGCACGCATGCATGATCATCTTGTGTCTGATTTGGATGATTGCATGCTTGTGGACATGCATGGGCATGAGTATGCTCTTGATGTGTGTCTAATGGGTCAGGTGCATGAGCCTAGGTCAGTCCATGAGGTGCTGAACCGTCCCGAATGGGTTGAGTCTATGCATGAGGAGCTTGAGTCTCACAAGGTAAATGGATCATTTGAGCTGGTTGATCCAGCCGTGGTACCACCTGGTTTGGAGGTCCTCAGGTGTCAATGGGTTTGGAAATACAAGCATAACCCTGATGGTACCATTGAGAGGCCTAAGTCCAGATTGGTGGTGATGGGAAACACGCAGAAATTGGGAGTACACTATGAAGAAGTGTACTCTCCAGTTGGGAAGCATGCGACCTTGAGAGGTATGCTTGGAATTTCAGCTGCTTTGGGGCTTGATATCCATCATATGGATGTCAAGACAGCCTTCCTCCATGGGGATTTGGAGGAAGAGCTTTACATGCGGCAGCCCCCTGGTTTTGATGATGGGTCTCACCGAGTGTGTCGCCTCAAAAAGTCCATTTATGGGCTAAAGCAAGCCCCACGACAGTGGTACCTAAAATTTGATGAGGCTCTCATGGATTTTGGGTTTGAGAGATCTGAGTGTGACCCTGCCTTGTACCACTTTGTGAGAGATGAGGAGCGGATCTCCTTATTCCTCTATGTGGATGACCTTTTGCTCCTATGCTCTAGCAAGGCTTTGCTAGATCGAGTGAAAGAGTTCTTGTCCTCGCGTTTTCGCATGAAGGACTTGGGGGAGGTGAAGTACTACTTGGGAATGCAAATTGAACGTGATGAGAGTGGTATCTTGATTCATCAAGAGAGGTACATTCTTAACATGCTTCAGTCCTTTGGTCTCTCAGAGGCCAACCCCGTGCGTACTCCTCTCCCAACAGGCTTTGATGTGCATGCCTATGAGGATGAACCCTTGCTGCGAGATGAGCTGGTCAAGCTCTACCAAAGCATTGTGGGATCCCTCATGTATGCTTGTACTACCACACAGCCACAGATTGCCTTTGCAGTCTCACAGCTATCTAAGGTCGCCTCTTGTCCTAAAATGTTTCACTTGCAGGCCGCTAAGAGAGTGCTGAGGTACCTGAAAGGTGGTGTCAGGTCAGGTATCTTCTTCCAAACACAGCCCCAGTCTCAGGTCCAGCTAGTTGGCTTCAGTGATGCTAACTATGCTGGAGATTCCGCAAGTCGCAGGAGCCACAGTGGGTATGTGTTCTGTCTGAATGGGGCAGCTATCTCTTGGCAGAGCAAGAGGCAGCCCGTGGTAGCACTCTCTACCACTGAGAGTGAGTATATAAGTCTGTGTCAGTGCATTCAGGAGGGGGTCTGGCTGAGCCGTTTGTTTGGGGAGTTTGGCCATGATCATGCTGGTGGTGTGCCTGTGTTTGTGGATAATCAGTCTGCCATTGCCCTTGCACAGAATGCATGCTCCATGGCCGCACCAAACACATGCAGGTCCGGTGACATTTCATTAGGGAGATGGTAGCTGCGGGTGAGGTGATTTTGCAGTGGTGCCCTACCAACCGTCAGGCTGCTGATATTCTTACCAAGTCTCTTCCATTTGAGCGTCATGGTGTGTGCATGACCTTGCTCGGGATGCAGCCCCATGATGACAGAGTTCCCGCAGCAGATGCCGGCGTCTTGGTGCTCCTCTCCTTGGCGGACTCCATGCTCTGGGTGGCCCCAACCCATGGGCAAGGGGGAGTGGTGTGAAGGCATTTGCCCTATGGTGTTGCGCCACACCCAGCACGAGCAAGAGGGAGTGATAAATGTGTAGTGTTCTGTGGTGTGATTTGCTCTAGCTGGCTGTGGGCTATTGGGATTTGGGCAAAAGAATTGGGTTGGTTGGCTAGGTTTGATCTCGTTACCTTTCCAACCCATACTACCCCATACCCACTACAGCATCTTTGATGTTGCAGCTGTGGCACTTGGGAGTGTTAGGGTTTGGTTCAGGGCGAGGGTTGGTGTTGTTTGACAATCAAATACTCCAACTTTTCCAGATCGAACTGGTTCCCTTCTCGTTTTTACTAGGTGATTCATGGCTGCCTAGCCAAATTACCAGAATACCCCCTCACACTGATTTCGTCATAATCGGCGGCTCAGATCTTGGTTATGAACGTGCTTTACCATTCTGGAAAGTAGAGATTAAGACCTTTCCAACGCGTATAAGCTCATTTCTAGAAGTTACCTGAGCAGCACGCAATGATTCGTTGAGGTCGTCAGACTTAATCTCTAATTAGTTCTCTCCAGATTTGCACGATTTCCATCAGTGCTGCTACTCCTCCCGCCACGTCAACCCCTGCTGCTACTCCTCCCGCCATGACTACATCGGCGGCCGTGATGTCGAAGAAGAGGCGCCGCTATCAGCAATCACACCTGCCATTTGCACCGCATCTTCCTAAGCCCCCTACTCCACCACCGCCGGAGCATGTCACTGCACCGTCAGTGAAACCGACAGTTGCGGAGAAGAGGGCGAGGGCATACGAAAAGGCGCAACGTAAGTACACCAACGATTGGCTCTCGAAATTCCCATGGCTGGTCCTTGATAAAAGTGACGACGGAATCCCGTGCTTGCGTTGCAGTGTTTGCATGGAGCATGGTGCAGTGCATGCAAGATACAGGCGTGAGGGCAGTGGCGGTCGGGATCTGCAAGTCGGCTCAATGCGCTGGCACCAGGAGAGTCAGAAGCATGAAGACGCGGTGAGGAAGCAACAACACCTACTGACAGAAGTGGAGAACCAGAAGAGGATGGAAGACTTTGTTGCGAATGACCCAGAGGGAGCGCGCATCATTCGGCTACTTTGCACCATGTTGTTCATCTGCAAGGAAGATGCGCCCATCAGAATGTTCACCCGCCTTGTGGGCTTCATGGTGCATGAAGGGGTGAAGGACGTTCCTAAGCAGAGCTACGGTGTCTACATAACACAGTAAGTTTATTAATCCCCTTGTACTGCTTCTCTTTCGGGTTTTCCTATAACCTTCGGATTTTGTGATCATCCTCTTTAACCAACTACTGACACCAATGTTTTGTGCATGCCTTTCTCACTCCCATTCAGGTACGATTTCAAGGAGATGGTGAAATCCATGGTGGCTTTCTTGCAGGTGCAACAGATGTCGCATATTCACGCATCGACAGGACGCGCGGGAAGCACTTGATCCTGTTTGCAACATTTTTTAAGAAGCGGAAAGTGGTCACCGAGTTCCTAGCTTTGCTGATCGTGGACAAGTGCGACGCGGCTTCTCTGCAGACGATCATCCTCTCCCACCTCGAGACCCTCGGCGTCGATCTCCAGAAGATCTCTGGCATCAGTACGGATGGGGCCTCTGTGATGACAGACGAGCATCATGGCTTGGTGGCTCGCTTACGAGTGCGCATCCCGCACCTCGTGGGCGTCCATTGCATCGCCCATAGGTGCAGTTTGTTTGTTGCACCCATAGGTGCTTTTAATGGCTCATGCGTGCATAGCTACATGCCCCTTCCAGGTAAATCCTATCCAGTTGCTGATATTCTATATTTTTTTGTTGTTGGCAGAGAGTCCCTGGCTGTCAAGGATGCTGCCGCGGCCTTCCCGGACTTCAAGATCATCAATGACGTCATCCGCGCATTGGGGGAGATTGTCGGCCACTCCACCCCATGGTATGAGCGCTTCAAGTACCTGCAAATGGTCATCCACAACACCAACCTGGAGCATCAAGGACTCTACCTTATCCGATGGCTCTCACATGGCGATGCAATCAAGAGGCTCTGCAGCATTCTCGGAGCGGCGATCATTGTCCTCATCGAGTACAACCACAAGCTGGCACCGGTCGTGAAGACGCTGAAATTTTACTACTGCCTGTACTTCCTCGCTGACGTCCTCGCCCAGATGAACACCCTCAACAGGTTCTTTCAGAGGCGCTCTGTAAGTGGTGGATTTTAACGGAACGTACTTTTGTTTGGCGTATCTCGTTGCACTGTTGCACGGTCTTGCTATGTGTTTAACTTGGCAATCATGTGCGTGAGTTTAATTCCTTGCATTTTGTACCTCCGCCTGCCCTATGCCCCATCCGTCAGGTGGACATCACCCTGGTGTCCTAGGAGGTTGACCGCACGGTCACCTACATCCGACACCGTTACATCGAGTACGGTGCGACATTTGGGGCGGAGCAAGTTCCTACAGCGGCACGCCAACGGCAAGCGCAGCATCGTTGTCGATGGCATGGACAACGACGGAAGTCCCTGCACGCACGCATTCGAACTCTCGGAGAAGAAGCTACCCGGCCACCAGTTCGGCGGCAGCATGTCGGACTGTGAGGACCTTTGCTCTGCGTTCGCCAAAGACATGGTGGCAAATGTGGAGTAGAGGCTGTGGGATCTGAAGCGGATGGGCGGCACATGACTGTTCAAAGTTGAGTGCTGGCCGAAGAAGGCAGAAGTGCGCGAGCGGCGACATCTCTCCTGGCTCGCATCCAACGTCGCCCGCTTCGACCACAAGCTGCCAGGTAAGTCAGTAGTTCCGTTAACACAACTGTATCATTCGTTGTTAAATGTCAGTTTGCCTTGCCCTAGGATGGATACTAAACCATTGTCCTCTGCTTCTATTCCAAAACCCAATTCCAGGAGTGAACTAAAGGGCGGCCGAGCTGGAGCTCAAGTTCTTTGCTCACATCATGAAGAACCACCGGGCGGATGATGACTTCAACCAGGGGCTGGCTGCCATGCTCAAGACCGCGACTGGCCTAAGAGCTACCCCGACCTGATAGCATTGTGGCAGGCCATGGCTGTGCTTCCACTGAGCACAGTGGAGTGTGAAAGAGGATTCAGCAGACAGAACGTGATCAAGTCATGGCTGCGGACGAGCTTGTGTGATGCAAGGCTGAGCAAACTCATGACGATCAACATGCTGGACTAGGACATGGACTAGGCAGAGATCGTTGACATTTGGAGGAAACAGAAGACGCGAAAGCAGGCTATGACGGTGGCCTATGAGGCTCCCCTCGACAAAGGCAAGAGTGAAGCCGAGGATTCGGATGAGGAGATTGTGGCTAGTGAGGGTTCAGATGAGGATGATGATGATGATGACGACGACGACGACGACGACGACGATGATGATGATGATGATGATTGATGAGATGCTGCTCTGTTACTGTGCCATGTGGATGTGTGACTTAATACTATGTGTTGGGCAAATTCTATATCTCTTCCAGATTGTAGGGGGACAAGGTTTTTTTTTCTGACAAGGCACAAAAACTCTGGCAAATCAGAGTTCCGATCCAGGGCACCCTGGATTTCAGAGTTAGCCCATGAGCTACTGGTGAAAATCAGAGTTCAGAAAAGTCAAAGATAAGCCCTGAGCAGGAGCTTTCTCAACGACAGCAGCAGAACCATCAGAGTAAGTGCACTGAGGGGGGGCACAGCCCTGAAAGATAGAGACCGGCATGGTACCGCTAGACTAGGCGATAGAGCGCTGACGAGTCTCTATGGCAGACAGGGTGTACAACCCTATGTAGTCTATAACAACATACAAAGATATGTTGGACAGCTAGACCAGTAAAATCTACAAATCTTCGATGGAGGGTGCTATGTATAATTCGTACTAAAAAAAATGGGTGCTCTAAAAAATGCACCATACCATAAGCTATCCCCCGCATATGCCACCCATGGGGTGACTATTTCGGCGGGTCTTATATACGGGGGAATACGGTATCAATGAACCTAACAGATGATCTTACAATCAAAACCAATACCTCAGTTCCCTTGGCAATGGGAGCATCCTCATACTAGCAAACACATGGAGCAGCCCCACTGTAGCAGACCTAAAGGCAGGGAGAGAGTCAAGTACCCACCAATCTCCATCCCCCTTCATGGCAGTCAACCGCGGTTCGTCCAGTTTTGGCAACCACCAGATGGAAGCAGGCAGAGCACCCAGTCCAGGCAGTTCACGCAGCTCCAACCTTTCCAGATTTGTCAGCTGCCCAAGGGCTTCAGGCAGCCTGCATAATTTTCCTAAACTGTCCAGTTTCAGAGTGCGCAGGGCAGTGAGTGAGGAGACGGCTTCGGGAAGGGAGGAGATGCGGCGGCAACCGGCGATTGTGAGTCTGGTGAGGGACACCAGGCCCCGCTGCTGCTGTGCTCCGTGTTGCGCTGGAGCATCCGCTTGTGCACGCCCCTGCTTGTTGCAACCAGACTGGGGGCTACTGGGTCTGTTAAAGAGACTTGGAGCAGCCATTGGACCGGGGAACTCAGTCTGAGGAGGAGGAGGGGCGACCAGAGGATCGAGGGACTCCAGGAGGCAGCAGCATTCGAGGCGAAGAGCCTCCAGGCGCGTGAGGCAGCCCAGCAGGGCAGGCAGCGCTCTCAACTCATAGCAGTCCACCAGGGAAAGAGTTCTGAGGCTGCCAGTCAAACTCCCCGAGCACAGCCCCTCAGGCAGCTGCTGCAGCACCGGAAGACTGAGCTCTAGGGCTGTCAGCCGGGGTAAATCACCCAGACTGTCGGGCAGGGACCGGACGTTGGCCAGATTGCGCAGCTCTAGGGACTCGAGGTTCACAAGGTCGCTGATGCTGGTAGGGAGGGAAGTGAGGGAGTCACCTGAAAGGATGGAGAGGGAGAAGAGGGGGGAGACGGAGGGGAGGCAGGGGAGCAGTGCGAGAATACCTGGGATCCCGTCGAGGAGTTTGCAGCGGAGAGAAAGCGTGTGGAGCTGCGTCATCCCAGCTATCACAATCTCAGGCAGGCTCTCCAGGTGAGCTGCCTCAAGCACGAATCGCCTCAGCCTTGTCAGCCACTCGAAGGAGCCCGGGATGCACCTCAGCGCCCTCATTCGGATCTCTAGGGTTTCCAGCAGCGGCAAGTGGCCAATGGCGGCAGGGAGGTGCCTGAGATCGCTGTTGACAAGGCTCAAGCTGAGGCGGGTGAGGCTTGTCAGTGCGCCGATGATCCTATTGCTCGGCAGACCTTGGAACCGCGGCCCCGCGGAAACGCGCAGCTCCCGCAGCTGTTGAAGCGCGCCGATGCTCTCTGGCGGCGAGGTGAGATGCGTGAACTCTTCGTCGTAGCGGGAGTGGCGGGTAAGGCGGAGGGTGCGGAGGTCAGTGAGAAGAGCGATGGTGGCGGGGAGGTGGCGGAGCGAGGGGAAGGTCGCCAGGCGCAGATGGCGGAGCTTGCGACATCCGCGGAAGAGCGGCGCGAGGTCGTCCGGCGAAACGGTCATATAACACTGATGTTCCACCGTCAGGTGGGTTAGCTGCGGACACGTGGCGCCCAGGCACTGGAAGAGCGCATCGCCCTTCCAGGAAGCCCAGTTGGCGGCTCGGATCCTCCCTTCTCCCAGAGTGACGCGAGTGAGGCAAGGGTAGCGGCGAACAGCGGCTAGGAGATCGGGGTATTCGATCCGGGATCGGACTGCGAGGTGCGAGAGCGAGTGGCACGCTGCGGAGTGCCATCGCTTGCACACGAGCGCGTAGCGGAACGAGTGCGGCACGGCGGCTGCACTCCCACTCCGCGCCGCTAATACTACTGCCTCTTCGCCCTCTTCGTCACACAACGGCACTCCCGCTTCGCTTTGGCGCGGCGATGGCGGCCTAGTCGGCTGTATGAGCGAGCGCAGCACGAGCGAGAGAAGCAGATCGTCCGACAGCACCTGCGCGATCGGCGGCGCTTCGGGCGGCCAGGGGGCGGCGAGGGGGAAGGGCAGCAGCGGGAAGGCAAGGGCTGGCAGAGACGACATTGCGGGAAGAATATGTGAAAATTATTGCGGTGCGCTCCTGTTGGAGTGGTTCCGCCACCCACGACGGACCACTCAAGACTTAGGGCGACGGAATGAGAAGTTCGGACTTGGGAGGAGAAAGCATGAAGAATCGATAAATGTTGCGTGAACGTAAGGTGTACGGAAAGGGGGGAAGCTGTAGAGAAGGTTGAGAGAAGATGGGTGGAAAGGAAGGAATGGATTTGGCGGCGAGAAACAGATAGACGTGGGGCAAAAAATTGGGTTTAGTACGGGGCGCGCATTCGGACTTCGGACCAGCGGCGAGTTCAGCAAGAAAGTCACGATTGCGTGTACGACTCGAAATGACACAAAGCGCGCGAGTTACGCGCAGCGCACATGGCAGTTACAAACCACGTTTGTTGTAAGGAATTACGATTCCTGACTGGGGCTCGCCACATCGAGTACACGCGAACCTCTCGGTTCCGCAGGCTCGGCCCTCAAGTCACGCGCCAAACCAGCCCCCGCCGAACTCGTCGGCCCCAACCTGATCCCGAGTCGCCCCGAACCCATTTTGACCCCGTCACCCTCGGGACTACCGAGCCCTTGACTGGTCCAACCCTGGACATTCAACTTGGTCAACTTGCCCTATATATTGCCTAGGCCTCATTTCTATCGAACTCTGTAATCACGTTCCCCTTATAGTATTCTGCGCTATCTGTTGGTATCCCGTGTAGGCGAACGAAGGTCGAGATGAATAGTCGTGCGGTTTCTTCGGCTGTGATGGTTGTATGACATGGTGTGAAATGCTTCATTTTCGTCAATCGGTCGACAACAACCAATACTGCGTCGTTTCCACTGGATCCGGCCGGCAGACGTATGACAAAATCCATTGTCACGTGTTGCCATGGGCGTTGAGGTGGCTCGAGGGGTTGCAACAGTCCTGTCGGTCTCTGAAGTGATGATTTCATTCGCTGGCAGATCGGACACTCGGCCACGTAACGCTGCACGTCCGTCACCATACTGTATCTGGCCAGTAATAAAACCGCTGCAACACCTTCAAAGTTTTATCAATACCGAAACGTAATGATAAATTCGAATCGTGGACTTCTTGAATTAGTTATTCGCGAAGTAGACGATAACTTGGGACCCAAATTCGATCTGTCCCATTTCGTAAGTAATAGACACCTTTCCGTGTAGTGGTTTGGAGATGGCCATCATTTACGAATGGGTCAGTTGAGTACCCGTGGGTAAATAGTCCACTCAGTAGCGGGTTGCTCTGGGCGACTAGTACTGCTGCGAGTTGGGCAGATGGTCTGGAGAGGGCTTCAACAATATTGTTGGCGCCCTTTTTGTACGTGATTTTGTACGTGAAGTTGACTCCAGATAGTCCAACCAGCGTATCTGCCGCGGGTTGAGATTCGGCGGCGCCCTCAGGTACTGTAGAGATTTATGGTCGGTTCGCACCATCACGTCCGCTCCAGTCAGGTAGCACCTCCAGATTTTGAACGCGTGGACAATTGCCATCATCTCCTTGTCGCATACCGGGTAGTCAGTAGATTGCATTTTCTGAGACTCGTACGCGATTGGTTGAATACCATTGCTGAAATCTTGCATGAGCACTACTCTAATGGCGATGTCACTTGCGTCGGTGATGACTTCGAAGGGCCGTTCCGGGTTGGCGATGCGAAGTACGGGTGGCGACATTAAAAGAGTTTTTTATGCCTCAAACGCAGCTTGCTGCTTCTCCCCCCACTCGTAAGAAGTCCCCTTCTGCAGTAGGTCGGTTAGAGGTCTAGTTTACCCTGCCATGTTGGGTATACACCGCCTCACGTAATTCACAAAACCTAGAAATGATTGCAGCTGCTGCAGATTTGTTGGCGGTTTCCACGCCTGAATAGCCCAGAGTTTTCTCGGGTCTATTTGAATCCCCTCAGTGGAGAGCACGTGCCCCAGGAACTCCAGTTATGGTTTTAAAAACTCGTACTTGGAGCCCTTGGTGATGAGACGATGCTGCGGCAGCCGCTGAAAAACCACTTCCAAGTCCTTTAAATGTTGCTGCCAGGTCTTGCTGTAAATCAGGATGTCATCCAAGTAAATTATCACACATTTGTCGAGTAGATCGCGGAACACCCCGTTCATGGTGAGCTGGAACGTCGAGGGGGCGTTCGTTAATCCAAACGGCATCACCGTGTATTCGTAACTCCCGTAGTGAGTACGAAACGCGGTCTTCTGGCAGTCATCATCGAACACCCGAAAATGATGATAACCACCACGAAGGTCGATCTTCGAAAAGTAGCGAGCTCCGCGAAGGTTGTCAATTAGTTCGTCCGTGCGTGGGATTGGGTAGCATGATTTAATCGTTATCCGATTAAGGGCACGATAGTCCGTACACATGCGAAGTCCGCCGTCCTTCTTTGGGGTGAACAGGATCGGCGCTGCGAACGGGGACGTGCTTGGCCGAATAAACCCTTTTGCCGGCAGGTAGTCAAGTTGGTTCCAAAATTCGTAGAGCTCGGGCTGAGTCAGGCGCCATTGAGTTCATACACTAGGCTGCGCGCCGGGCTCTAGCTCGATTTTGTGGTCTTGGGGTCGTTCGGGTGGCAGTCCACTTGGCAAGTCGTTCGGGAAAGTCTCGGAATATTCCCGAATGAATTTTGCCAAGTCATCCGGTACCGAAGCGCAGAGTTTGTTGATGTCGGTCGCCTCGTTCTGCTCTGTTGATTCGGTTAGATGAACGGCGTATAAATCTGCTCCATTCTTGACCGCTCGATTGAGGCACACAGCGTTGACTCATGTCGACGTTGTCTCTGCTTCCGGCCACCTTGATAATTTTCGCCTGTCGTCCAATTGATTTGCGGATTGAATCTTCGCAGCCAATCGTGTCCCAACAGCACATCGTAGCCATCGAGCATTGTCGCTAGCATCGGCGCGCTGAAGCCGAAACCTTTGCCACACTTCATTCGAACGACCGGTACTTTGTCGCGTATTGCCAGCGGGGTGCCACCAAATAGTCTCGCGTCTATTTCGGGCAGACACCGCTCCAACGATAAGTGTAGTCTTCATGCTGTCTCCCGATTTATTAAGCTGTGACTAGCACCTTCGTCGATGAATATTTTATTTTTTCTTTTATTTAGTTGTCCTTCTGCCAGCACAGGGTGGTCCACTGGGTCATCCCCCTTATTTAGCCGGGAGCGATTGATAGCGTGTATCGGAACTACCACCCGGTGGGGATGGTGTTTTTCGGGCGATGAGGCAGGGTCGGTAGGGGGCCCGACCCCTACTGATGCTTGGCTTTTCCCGACCTGCCTGCATCGTTCTTCTTTCAAAGGCAATCGTGAGATTGGTGACCCGGCTGGTGGCAGTTGAAACATTGTCCCTTACAAAAATCTTCCATGTGCTCCTTCGCCACTACGCCATGAATCGTGGGCCGTGGATCCTGGCCGTGAAAACGATTTCCCTCCGGGGAACCCGCTCTCGCATACGTCCGATGCGCGTCGAAATTGTCTGCGTTCCGGACTGCTTCATGAGATGTCGCCGGTAGTCGTAAACAAACCTCGCATTTAATGTCCTGCTTCAGGCCCGAAATGAATCGAGCCTTCTTCTCGGGGTCATGCATGTCGGTGATTTGATCACATAACGCCATGAAGACCAACGCGTAATCTTGGACGGAACTCCACTGGCACCAGTTGTCCAGATTCGTGCGTGCGTTGTCCAAGGCGGATATTGGCTCGAATCGTTCACGCAAAGCTGTGCCCCACGCCTTCCACGTGCGAATCTTGGTCGATCTAAAAATCGCGGTTGACCCTTGGGCAGCAGACCCAAAGTTTCCGAAAAACCCCTGTGTGTCGCTTGCCGAAAACCCCCCCTCCTGTAGTGTATATCGTCACCAATCTAGCGCAGGTCCCCACAGTAGTGATATAGCCAACCAATTTTTTAAATCGTCAGCAGTGATCCCAGCGCCATTAAAATAAAGTTCCGCCAAAAATAACCAGCCCATAACAGTAGTATTCTTATCTGTGGGGTTGAACGGGGGCGGCATTGTCGGTTTGATTGTCGCTGCTGTCACTATTGGCACGACTGCCGGTGCGGCTACAGTAGCGGCTGCTTCTGACCGGGCGGCTGCTGCTGTTGCTGCTGCTCGGCTGCTGCTCTGTCGCGTTATTACTATAGGATGCTGATCAACATTTGCGAATCATAGCATCAAATAGAATTCCACAGCAGCTAATAAGGCAGGTTGGGTGGGGTAGACTCAATGGATAAGGGCGGAGGGTGGTGACGCAGCGTGCCTCTGCCAGATGGTTGCCTCTCATGCGAGGAAATCCGGGCAGCCTGGAAATTGGCAACCCATCACACCGAGGTGTACGCAGCGCCCTGCTAAGGGGCAGAGGCCACTGTACATAGCATGTACCATAGGCTGTTTTCCTTGCTTTACGCTTGTTTACTTCCTCTATACTGTAATTGGCTTCCTCTCGAAGAAACTTTCAGTGCATTGGGAACAAGACTAGCCACTCGGTGGAAGAGCCGTCGCTCAAGAATAACATGCTGCAGCTGGACAATCTGAAATATCAATGGGACGGCGACGGGCTGGATCCGTTGGAATCCGCAGACTGGCCAATCCGTTAAGAGGGGAGGCTCTGATGCTGTTTCGAATCGAGCAGGAAGAACTACTGAGGGGCTGTCGCCAACACCAGTTCTCGCCGAGAAAGTTGACGGATCGGTTCATCGGCAGCCTAAAATCGGAGTTTCTGGGGCAGATGGCGGAGCGCACACATGAATTCGACCACTTTCAGCGTATAGAAGAGAGAGCCTGCTCGCCTACTACAATCGGCTAGTCGAGATGGGAGAGCATCTGGAGTGCCAAGAGCAGCACACTCTGCGCAGTAAATTCATCGGTGGATTGGACGATGAGCTGGCAGCGGACATCAAGCCCCACGTTTTACGGGTCGGCCCGAGAGCGACACTACGCCAAGTGTACCAGGTCACGAAGGAGGTCGATGAAGGGAGGCGCTTCTACGAGAGAGCGCACCCCACTGCACGGCCACAGGAGAGACGCCGCGCAGCATGGTCGGACAAACGACGCGATCGTCCAAGTGATGATCGGCGATGTCACAAGTGCGGAGTAGTGGGGCAT